GTGAGCCCGGGAGAGGGAAAGGGATAAGATAAAACCCAGTCTATAAAATATATCCCATTATCTTTTATAGGTTAAAAAAACACAAAAGAATACTTGGAAAGAATCTTGTAAGATGGGAAGATTTTAAGATTGTGTGGGATTTTTTTTTTTTGTTTTTTACAGGTGCAGAATAAGTTGGGGGTTTTTTCTCTTGTGTTTTTTTTTTTTCCCCCTATTTTTCCCCCTGTTGTTTGCAAAGTTGAATCTGGGGTCAGGAGTTCTAATTGTAACCTCAGACTGGAATTCCAGATGGTGCGCTGAGGACTGCGAGCAACTCTCAGTTCATCAATTTCATGGGCCTACGTATCTGCTCTGGCCACGGCCCGGCCTCCATCCCCACTGTGGCATTAATGCAGAACAAATTGAGACATATCCTCTATATAATTAGTTCCAGAATTTAAAAAGATTTACGGTATAATAATAGAGGCAGCGCTGCGGAATCCTTCCAATGGGGACTCTCTGGGAGCTTGGGGACGATCATCTCGCGGTGGCATCAGAACAGACGGGTAACTGGCGGTTCCAGGCACTGCGCGCTGGGGGAGAGGGGAAATTTTTGCACCGCCGGGGCGGCGGTGCTCACCGGTCCTGAGCCCCCAAATTGGGTCAGAGAACGGGGTCTGAACTGTAGATGAGTGGCTGTTCAAAAAGATCCGGTTAATTTTTCAAATGAGCAGAGGTAGCCAGGGGTGGAGGGTGTACTCCGACGAAAATCCCTCCCTGACTTTTTTTTTTTTTTTTTTAAAGAAATGAAGCTGGGGTTTCCACCGCCAGCCCCAGGCTGGAAACGGGCCTAAGCGCCTGCCCGGAGGCCGGGGGTAAGCAGGCATCGAAGAATTGGGAGTCCGCAGGGTGGGGAGGCGCAGCGGGTAGGCTGCCCGTCCTGCGCTCGGAGCTCCCGGCTCCAGGTCCTTCGAGAGGTGCTAACCCAGCGCCAGTTCCTCCTGGGCGGCTGGCGGTTGAGCCGCTCCTCTTCGGGCGTCTGCGGCCCCGGCCCTTGACAGATCGCAGTGCTACGGTGTGTTTATTCAGTTGTCGACGGCCGCGGGGTGACGCCCGGAGCGCAGCCTGGGAGTACGCGCTGCCCCCTGGGGCTGGGGCTGCACGGCCGGACTGGCTCTTGGTCAGAGCCGAGGTCAGAGTGGGGGGTTTAGAGGTCCTCAGAACCCCTCCCCCCGCCCCCCATTCAGCAGCGATTTTTTTGATCTTGCAATAATTAAGCCCTTTCCAGGCCAGGATGCGTTTTACCAATGCACCAAAGCCACATGGATGTCGGCTTCTCTCTCCCTTTCTTTACTCCTCATTCCATTTGCTCTAGGGAGGCAGAGGGGTCGTGGGGGTAAAGCCCGAGCCAGACCTTGAGAGACCTGGGTTTCAGCTCGGCTTTGCCACTATCTTGCTACGTATCCTTAAAGAAGCATAGTGAGTTGTATGTTACAATTGTTACAGAAGTTACAGAATTGTAACGTTTATTGAATGCATAAACCAACACTATCCTCCAGTCTAATCCTTATGAGCCCTTGAGTTGGACGCTAGTGTTCTATTATCCCGTTTGATCAGTAAGAAAACAGGCTCAGAGAGCCTATGGAACTCATCTAGGGTTACACAGCTGTTACCTGGTGGACCTGAGGTTCCGTTCTCTGACCCCCAGTTCCTTGCTCTTAACCACTGAGCTCCAAGCTGCCTTTCCTCCCTCTGCCTGGGCCTCAGCTTCCTTCTCTATAGACGGGGAGTTAAATTTCCATCTCTGCCAAAAGGTGATTCGGATCAGATCCTCTGTGCCATAGGTCTCCGCGCTGACAGGAGCGGGAACGTGGATAGAGAAGTGCGCGGCCAGGTCTACGCAACCCTCATTTCCCTGGACCTCGCGCTCGGGAGGTGCAGGGCACCGCCTACCTGCCGAGGCGGGCCAGAGAGTGGACCTTCCTCCCGGCCAGGTTGTCTGTCCCTCCGCCCGGCAGGCTCAGGACGCCGAGACCCCCGCAGCGGGCGCGTCTGCCGCGTTAACCGCCGAGCTCCCGCAGAAAACGTTCCCCAACGGAGGCGGTGGGACCGCAGTTGGCTGGTTCCCCGGAGGCGGCCCAGGCGCTCCAGGGCTTCCGGGCGTGGGACTGGGCGGGGGGCGTTGGGGTGAGGAGGCCCTGTCCGGTGAGGCCCTCCGACTTCCAAGGCTCCGGACGCACAGCACTGACTTCTTGGCCCCGCGGGTTGCAGGGAACTCCTCCCACTGCTTGGGACTACGAAATCGGGGTGAGGGGGCACCCCAGGGCTGAAGCGGGGATGCACTACTGTTCCTCTCTCCCCCCAGGATTTTCAGGCAGCAAACGGCGGCAGAGAGAGAGAGAAGTCTTAAATTTATCTGGCCCCTTTCCTCTCCACCCCACCCCACCCGTGAACTTCTTCTGTAAAACGTAAAGGCAGGGAATTAAGCACTTCTGCCCTCTCTGGGATTCAAAAACGCAAAAGCTCACGTTCAAGCCACCTTCCTCCAAACACCCACCAAAACACTTTGCCATGTTGGGTGAAAGAGAAACAATCTCGATCTTTTCGTTTGCAAACAAAAAAATCCCTCACTTTTCATAAAGGGCTCTCCTTCCCTCGTGGCGCCTGAGTGAGTCCTAGTTAAGAAAAAGTCCTTCGAAATAGAAATAAAAGTGGTGAGTAGGAGACTGGGGTCTGGGGCGCTCTAAGGGCAAAGTAGCCTGAGAAGTTTCCTCTGTCCGGGGCCTTTCTGCACCGAAAGGACCAAGCGTGCTTGCCCTCTGCCCAGCCCTCAGCCCAGCTGCAGGTTTAGAGATGGCACTTGTGGGAGCGTGATGGGCAACCCACAGAACGTAGGGGGAGAAGGACATGGTCTCCTGGGCCTTTCCATTTCTTTAAAAATATATAAAGCTTCTGAGTGGGGACAAGCACAGTGAAGCACCAAAGTAGCGCAGAGAGGGGTGCAGGTCCTTGTAGGTGGCCTGGGGAACAGGCGGGTAGCGCGTGTGCCCGACCTTTGCCCTCCTGGTTTCCTGAGCCTCTAGGACTAGCGACCCCAAGAGGAGGGAATTTTGTTTGCCTTGCGGGTCCGGAGCCCGCTAACGCAACTCCCCTCCGTTTACTCAGAGCAAATTACCTTAAACCAAAAAGCAAGAAATGGAGTAGCAGTCAAAGCTTTTAAAACGCCCCGTTTCTTTGTAATGCCGCAGCTACCTTGGTGGTCGCTTCGCTAAAGCTTCGGGCCCTAACCTGGGCCGGCCCGGAATAAGAGGCCTGGTGGCAACCGGCTGCTGCCCGCCTGCGCTCCAGGCGGCTCCAGGTTGCGCCGTCGCGGCTGCCGCCTGCCTCTCCTGGGTGTCTCCACGTGCCCCGAAACGCACTCCAACCCGGGTTCCCAGCGCGTCTCCTTGGGTCCGCATCCCCCTAAACCCTGACTCTTCTGGCAGTACCAAACCCAACCCAACCCAACCCCCAAACACCTGCCCTGAGGCGCGGGTCTCCCGAAGACTGACTAACCGGAGGGAGGGGCCTGCTCCAAACGACGCGAACACTGCCACCGACCGTGGGCCACTGTGCGCTTTTTCCTTCGTGGTCCTCCTGGCCGGTTTGCGCCTCTTTATCGGTTACTGCTTATCCAGAACGGTGCTCTCGACCATGAGCAGAGGCCGAACTAGGTGGGATTAGCTCCAGCATCCAACCTTTTCCTGCGGGATTGTCTTCGAGTCCTACCTACCCCTCACCCTCCTAAACGGGCTCCGGGATTCTCCAGTCAGAATATGTACAGGCTCTGGGTGTTTCCCTAAGGGTTTTCTTCCCTCCCAAACGAGCCGCTGTTCACTAGAAAGGGAGGTTAAGCGCCGCCGGCACCTATTTGTTCGGCAGGTGGCAACTGCCCTCCTCTGGGAGCAAATCTCACCAAGTAACCAACTACCAGACGATCCAAATACGCCATTTATCACAGCTGATGCACCCCGCCCCCTAGGTCACCCACGTTCACCTGGAGTCTGGCCTCTGGAACCCACAAGGTGTCATCCCCACCCCAATGAACCTGAGATTACGGCCACCACTCCTGCCCGGCGGCTCCAGAAGCGAAGCACAAGCCGGACTTGCGGGCGTAGAGCGAAGGAATTCGCTTCGCTGAAGCCCAGGAAAGTTTTCTGTGCTTTCCTGAAGTTCCCGCCCGCGTCGAGCTCACCTGCCCCTCCCTTGAACCCGCCCTCTCACATTCACAACCCCATCCCTGCCCCCCCCCATGGGTGTAGTGGGGACATTCACTGCTCACCTGGAGAGACTCGCTAGTGCCCAGAGGCGCCCACACTTGCGAAGGCCGAGGAGGGGAGGTGGGGGGAGGGCTCTGTCCCACAGGCCGGCTGGGAGCGCGTGGCGGGTAGGAGAGGAGGGTGTTTCCTAGAGGTACGCTCCCTCGGGCCCGCCCCCCACCCCCGCTGCGAGGGCGCCCCCACCGAGCCGCGCGCGCCGCCGGGCCAGGCTGGGGCTGCGGTGTGAATGGAACGGCCGAGGCTCCTGGCTCCTCCTCCTCCCCCGCCGCCGGCCCCTCTTATTTGAGCTTTGGGAAGCTGGGGGCAGCCAGGCAGCTGGGGTAAGGAGTTCAAGGCAGCGCCCACACCCGGGGGCTCTCCACAAGCCGACCGCCAGTCCGCTCCCCCTCTCCCGCCCTCCCTCCCACTCATTCCGCCACCCACCCACCCAGAGCCGGGACGGCAGCCCAGGAGCCGGGTCCCCGCTGCCTCCTTGCCGCGATCCTGGACTTCCTCCTGCCGCAGGAGCCGGCTTCCACGTGTGCCCCGGAGCCGGCGTCTTCTCACTCGTTCTGCTCCGGGCCTGGGCGCCTTCAGCAGCCCGAACAGCCGGGGCTCCGGGGCCCGGGTGGCATCTGGGGCAAGTTAGGCGCGGCCGAGTCCGGCGCCCAACGTCTGCACGGCCAGCGGAGCGGCGGGGCGTCCGGGGCTGAGCCGCCGCAGATGGGCTCTGACGTGCGGGACCTGAACGCGCTGCTGCCCGCAGTGCCCTCGCTGGGTGGCGGCGGGGGCTGCGCCCTGCCGGTGAGCGGCGCCGCTCAGTGGGCGCCAGTGCTGGATTTTGCGCCCCCGGGCGCCTCGGCTTACGGTTCCTTGGGCGGCCCCGCGCCGCCGCCGGCTCCGCCGCCACCCCCGCCGCCGCCGCCGCCTCACTCCTTCATCAAACAAGAGCCGAGCTGGGGCGGCGCGGAGCCGCACGAGGAGCAGTGCTTGAGCGCCTTCACCGTGCATTTCTCGGGCCAGTTCACCGGCACAGCTGGAGCCTGTCGCTACGGACCCTTCGGTCCTCCTCCGCCCAGCCAGGCGTCCTCCAGCCAGGCCAGGATGTTCCCCAATGCGCCCTACCTGCCCAGCTGCCTCGAGAGCCAGCCCGCTCTTCGAAACCAGGGTAAGCAGGCCGCGGAGCGCCCCCTACACGCGGGGCGGTGGCGCCGGGGCTCCCGCTGCGCGCTGGCACAGCCCTGTGCGCCCCCTTCCCCGACCCCAGCCCTTGCCGGGCTGTCCCCCCAAGGGCTGTGTGGGTAGCGGACGAAGGGAGAGGAGGCCGGGGAGAGGGAGTACGTGCCGGCACAGGCCCCCCGACATCCTCCTGAGCCAGGAGCCGGACTGGTTCGCAAGAGCCGGGAGGTCATCTGCGGCCCCGTACACCCCGGGAAATTCCGGGACTTAGAGTCTTTGTGGGAGGGGGAAGCGGGAACCCGTGCGGTGTCTGGCTCCGTCTCAGGAAGTTTTGTGGCTCCAGGCACCCCGAAACTGGACCTTTTTAGCTTTTAAGTTGAGGGACCAGCATCGGGTGTGCAGCCGGTGTTCCTACCCTGCGCCAAAATGTCAGGAGCCGCTCCAGCCCCTGATACGGTGATGGTATCACGGAGCAAAGAACGAGTGAAGGAACCCGCTAGCAAGTCAACAGTGGCTTTCCTGGAACCACGTCCGTATGGTGGTAGAGAAGCGGATGTCTCCTGGCGTCCAGCTCAGGCGGCGCCCACGAGGGCTCCAGGGCTGGAAGAGACCTCTGTTTATCCTATCATTCCAAGCTGTGTGGGACCGGGTCCTACTATATTGCATTACTATAGGCAATGCAATGAGGCCCAAACGTCGGCCTTCCTTCCTTGTCTCCTTGTCGTTAAACTCGGGACTCAGATGAGGAAGGATTTGCAAAGCATGGGAGCTAGAACAAGAACAATTTACTTGCCGACTTCAATCCGTGTATGTGGAAGGACACCGCCAACAGTTTTCTCGTCCCTCTCTGGCGCCCGCACCTCTACTCCCGTCAGGAGCTAGCGTGGAACCAATCGTGCCCAGCCCCTGTAGTTTGGCTTACAAATTTATCCTAATTGGACTTCTGTGCTGTTTGAGAAACTAAACGAATTCGGGTTGAGTCACTATTTTAGGAAATGCCTTGCAGTAGCAATGGCGGAGGTTTTCGCTGGAGCAAAATTTCACGCTAGCCTTGGGACTGCGATGTTTCTGGAATGCGTGGGATGGGAGGTGCCGAAGGTGTACCTTTTGCAAGAGGTGCCAGGGCTTCCGAGGCACGGAAGGGCTCGATGCTTCCCGCCGACGCCCGCACCTTCTAAACGAGCATCTTCAGGCAGTTCCCACCTTCACCCAACCTAGAGCACCTGGCTCGCCCCAAGCCCTAGTGAAATCGAAACCGCCCTCCCCTCTTCGTTCAGGCAATCCGGGATCTGTGTTTTCAGAAGGAACCACAGGCAGGCTCACAGGGTCCCTACACTCAAGGTCTTTCTAAAGGAAGTTTGTGTTTCGCATGCAAGGGATGTTGGAACAAGTCAGTGTAGATTCAGATGCTTGTGTTCACTGATCATGTCACCTCTAATTAGCAGGCTGTTGTTACCTTTTGCAAATCTCCAGGTCTCAGTTTCCCCATCTGTAAAAGGACATCTGAGATGGGCAACTTGGGGGTTGGGCCTCACCTGAAGTTCCATGCTACTGGAGCAGAAATCCAACTTTCCCCTGACTTCGGTTCTAAATTCATAAGGCAGGAGACCACCTAAAATTGACTGGACCAGTGGGTATATGATGTGAGTGAGTCTGTGTGTGGCTGTTTCCTCTTTGGAGAGCCTGAGAAGCCATTTGGTTTATTTCTGGGGCTCAAAATACTACTGTGCTATTATCATTTATTTGAATCCATCTAGATTCTGTGGGCATTTTTGGAACCTGGGCTCTCTCACTTTGTTTGGGCCCCTTCTGTAGGCTGGTCTGATGCCTGGGATTAGCATGAGGGTAGGGAGCGGTGAGACTATGGACTTCCTAGCCAGCAGGCACTACATTTAAGGGAAATATCTGAATTCCTGTCTAGTAGATAGGCTCAAATGCGAAGAAATAAAAGGCTTGGGCATTGGGGACCAGAACTGGCAGGTGAAGGAGTTCTATTCCCTACTCTGGGAAAAACCCAGTGGAGAGCCAGCCCCAGACATGTGCCACAACCTGTAAGTCGGTTCCTGTCCGTGGACTTCGGTTTTTCTTGCATTGAAAATGTAAATGGGCCATGGGATGGGAATGTCAGAAGCTGCTGAGCCCTGGCCTTGGCAACCCTGAGATTCTAGATTTATTCTCTTGATCTCTGGGGTTCCTGTGGCTCCCCCCAGGAATGCAGGGCCTGGCAGGGTGTGTGTGTTGGGAAAAGCAAGGGTATCAGTTCCTTCCCCAAAGTATGAGAATGGCCATCAGCAGACCCAAGCCAAACTCCAGCAGAGAGGAATCAAGACTCTGAATCCCTGTTCCTAAGCAAGGCAGCCTCGCCAAGGCCCATAGGAGAGGACAATTGGCACTTTCTCACCTCTCTCCTCCAAGGGATCATACCATCGTCCCCCCCCCCTTTTTTTATTATTTCTTAAATAGTATAGGTAGCTTCCTAATATTGTAACCATTAACTCAGCAAACATTTATTGAGCCTCAACGCTGTGCAAGGCACTGGTGACTGAGTATTAAGACAGAGTGCATGTTTGCAAATATCTCACAGCCTGACAGAGAAGTCCCTTGTCTCTGGATGAGAAAATCTAGGCTCGGGGCGCCTGGGTGGCTCAGTCGGCTAAGCTTTGGACTTCAGCTCAAGTCATGATCTCACGGTTCATGGGTTCGAGCCCCTCATCGGGCTCTGTGCTGACAGCTCAGAGCCTGGAGCCTGTCTTCAGATTCTGTATCTCCGTCTCTCTCTGACCCTCCTCCCCTGCTCACGCTGTCTCTAACTCTGTCTCAAAAATAAATAAAAACATTAACAAATTCTAAAAAAAGAAAGTCTAGGCTCTACTCTTAGAGTAAGTGTGCAAGAGGTCCCTCTGTGGCAGAGCTGGGACTCGAACCTAGACCAATGTTATTTCTACCTCCTTTTCCAGGATTTTGGCCCCTCTGTTGACATGGATTTCCTTTGCCCTGTTGGATAGGCACTGAACCAATAGTGGTCTCGATGTGAAGGTTCATGGTTTGCCAGTGCAGAAGTGGAGTCAGGCATGTGCTGGTGGCATCACCAAGCCACTCTAGGGTTAGGTGTTGAGACCAGATCTATAGAAGGACCCTCCTCTTTGAGTCACTTGGAGAGAGTATTCCGTTTTGGGACAGATTTTCCCTTATTTTGCCACAGCTATGGCGTCATCATTTCAGCCTTCTGACCCCCTTCCTGACAGAGCCTGCTCTCCATTCTACCCCTCAGCTCTCCGGAGGCCCCGGCCGGGCTAGGCGGTTCCCGGGTTCCTCCAATGCCGCGGGCGGAGAAACGACGCGCAGAGCTTGTCTCGCCTCTCCTTGCGGCCAAGGTTGCACTCCATTCCCCAGCAGAGACTAACCGTGGGAAAACCGCTACCTTGGTCGCTTAGAGCCTCTCCCTCCCAGGCCTGTACAAGGAGACTTTGAACACGCTGCCCCTTTTCGCCGGCAACTGTTCCTCCTTCGGTCCCCGCCCCCGCGCTCTCAGCGCCTGGCCCAGCACGAGGCCCCAGGACTGCGCGATCTAATCAGTCCCGCGTCGGATAAGCTTCTAATTAAAGGAACCTTCCCTCCCCTCAGCTGGCGCTTTCGCCGCGGCCTCTCCCGAGGGTCTTGAGGGAGGGGGTTGGAGGCTGGCCTCTGTCCCCGGGTCTGCGAGTCCTGTCAGGGAGGGGGCTTTGGGAGCCTCGCAGGGCGCGGAGGCGACGCAGCGGGTGCGGGAGTTGGAGCCTGCAATCCCACAGTTGCGGAGCCCGCCTCCAAGGACAGCACCGTGCCCGGGTCCACAGCCTCTACTCATCAGCTCAGGAATGGAGAAGGGTTTGTCTAGAGGCAGTTTCTTTGTGGCTTCTGTTTCTCCTCTCTATTTAAAAAAAAAAAAAAAAAAAAAACTTTCAAAATTCGGCCTTCTCTCTGCAAAATGCGGTACTAAGAGCCAAATTTCGTTTGTAAGTTGACAGGCCTCAATCAGGGCTGTGCCTCTGCTCCCAAAAGGAAGCCCAAGGTTCTCACCCAGCCCTGACGCTAACGGGGGCGGGGGTTATCTTTGCCTACTTAGCAGGCGATAGATGTAGGGCTCTCGGGTCATGCAAATTATAAAAGCTGGTGGTTTCTTAAGTTGGCGACCTGTGGCACTAAGCAGTGTGTGACACTTGGCCTGCCTAGTACAATCCGGTAATTACGACCTGTACCCGCCCTGTACAGACCACACTGCCGGGAGGGGGCAGAAGACGCAGGGTTTTGTTTTTGTTTGGGGGGTTATGTTTCAAAGATGGGGGTAACAATCTCCTTCCTCTTATCATTTTAAGTCTTTGTAGATACTTGTCGCAGAGCCTCTGTCATGCCTGGGGCAAGAGTGGGGGGTGAGAGGCCTTTTCACCCACTCATTCCCCCAAAGTGAGTGGAGTTTGGAGACTCAGCCCAGTGGGGGGGGGGGGTGGCGGCGGCACTGTGGCCCTGCATGAAGGCTGTGTGAGGGTCGGGGCAGATCTCATTCGCCTCGTGCTGGATCTCGGCCTCTGGCCTGGACCTCAGTCCTGAGACTCTTGGGGCCTGCATGTAGAAGGAGGGAATCCCACCAGGCCGTTCAGGGTCCCAGGACTGATCTTTATCTTAGTTGGAGGATGCCCTTTCCCCAGAGATGTCGACAGTTTTCCGAAAGCTGGTGGGGAATATGTTTAAAACAATTTAATAACAATAATCACACAAAGAGATTACATTTTTCAATCAAGGCACTAATCAACACTTTTTTTTTTTTTTTTTTTTTAACCCAGCCTTCGTTTGGGGAATTGGGGAAGAACACAGTTGCCCTTGGTTTCTCTGCAGGGCAACTATAGCAGGGGATCCGGGCACTGCTATGTAGGGAAAGGGAGGAACAGTGTCCCGCACACTCTAAAACAAGCACGCTTCCCCGCCTGGAGCGCGAGGAACGTGGCCCCCACAGTGGTAGTCAGAGTAGGGACGCACTGGGTGCGAGTTGGGTCCGAGAGGGTAAGGAGGAGGGCACAGGACAGAGGCCCGCGGGGCGCATCTGGAAGGGCCCCTTCTTGTAACCCTCACCAGCTTTCCTGAGGGCCTTGGGTGTCGTGGTGTAGGGTCGCGCAGCCTCAGATAACGTTACTCGGTAATTACTCTTCCCATTTAAAGCCCATGCCGTTTAACTGGCTCCGAGTAATTAATGAAAGTTGGTGCGCGGTCCCCTGATTTACGGCTCCGAGTCAGCGCGGGGTCAGCCGAACAGATTCATTTCGCTCGCCCGCGCTGCCCCTGAGCAAGAGCCGCGGTGTTTGTTTTTGGAGAACTTTCTCCGGCGAACAGTTGGCGGTTTCATACTCCACTTGCCCAAGGTTCGGCTCAGAAGCAGCAGGCAAGGTGGAAGAATACAAAGGCGTAAATGAATTTGGAAACGGCGGGGAGGTCAGGGGTTTGGTTTTTTTTTTTTTTGGAGAAAAGGCGGGGAGCCGGCTCCGAGGTCACACGTTTGGGCTTGGGCCTGGCGCCCCGACGAAGGTTCTGGAGACCGGTGGGGTGGCATAACCCTCCGCTGGGGTTTCGGGTACGGGGATGGGGGGCAGGTGCTCCTCCACCCCGGTTCTGGTTCAGAACCGCCGACCCAGTCTCGGCCCTGACGCTGTGCTTCTCTCCGCCGCGCTCGCAGGATACAGCACAGTCACCTTCGACGGGACGCCCAGCTACGGTCACACGCCCTCTCACCACGCGGCGCAGTTCCCTAACCACTCTTTCAAGCACGAGGACCCCATGGGCCAGCAGGGCTCTCTGGGTAAGCAGGCGGGAATGATGGCGGGTCCTTCTCTCCTTCTCCCTTGCCACCCCTGTCCCCCTAATTTCCAAACCACAGCAAATTTGGGAAGGGGAGAAGAGGGCAGCTAAAGGGATTTCTAGAAATGTTCAGCCCAATCTCACTCAGTTTAAAAGAAAAGATTGAATTTTGTCCCCCCCCCCCCGTGCCCCCTAAGTGTGTTAGGGACAGCTCCACTCAAACAAGCCTACGAATATCTTTACGTGCACTACGAAGTGGCTGTGGAATGAGCAGCTGGTTAGCTCCTTACGATCTGGACGCCCTCTCTCTGCACGCGCCAGCATCCAGACCCCTTGCCCCCGGTTTAGCCCAGGAGACTAGCTGGGGATGCTCTCCGTCCCAGCCGCTGGCCTCGGCCGCGCGCCCCGCGTCCCCAGGCCCACCCCGAGCCCCTGGGGCGCGCTCACCCCGCTCTCTTCGGGTCTCCGCAGGCGAGCAGCAGTACTCTGTGCCGCCCCCAGTCTACGGCTGCCACACCCCCACCGACAGCTGCACCGGCAGCCAGGCCCTGCTGCTGAGGACGCCCTACAGCAGGTAGGAAGGCGCTCGCCGCGGTGTCGGGGGCGCGCGAGCCGCGGGAGCGTCAACGTCCGACGCGGGCAGCCGGGGCCGCGCGCGCGCAGGGGCCTGGAGGCAAAGGAAGTCTTTAGCTACTTAAAGCAGATTCAAGCAGAGCTCCAGGCTCTGATTTGAAAGAAGTAGGTTTCCTCGTCTCCTAGTGTTACTGTGTGTGTGTGTGTTTAAATACAAGTGAGGGCGGTTACTGTTGGAGCCGAAGGGGAGTGGGGTTTCAAGAAGTCATTTTTTAAAAGGGCTTCTTATGGGAGGACTTTAGCTTCCTTGCGACCAAAGATTAGACATGGACTCCGCTCCCACTCGGTTCTTCTCCCTTCTCGGCCCCCTCCACGCCCACTAGCCACACCGGCCGGCTTTCTCTGGTTGTAATTCGAGGGCGCGTACGCTCGGACCGCAGTCCTCTCCGCGCCGCGGTGCACGGTGGGCGTGGTCCCTGCGCCGGGCTCCGCGCCGGGACCCGGACTGTGTGCGCGGCTGCGGTCGGGTCGCGGCAGCGCCCTCCGGGGACACGGCTCCAGCCCGCGCCAGCCCTCCTTCCTGTTGCCGGGAGGCAGAAGACCAGCTTCTTTTCCTTCCAAGCGTTTTTCCCCGTCCCTTGTGCGTTCTCCCGGCTCTCGCTCCACCCTCCACCTTCTCTCCCCCAAATTTATTCTTCAACTTTGGGTGAACTTGGCCGGGATCCCGCTTCTCCGATAGGGTTGCCTAGTAACTGGTGCACACACCGGCGAGCGCGCGGGGCTGGAAGGTGGGGCGGGGGGAGGGAAGTGGCCGCTCCAGGCCTTTGAGGTGGAGGATTGGGCGCACATTACCTCATGTTCCGCCCCTCCCCCTCCCCCCACCCCGGTGCTACGGGGATCCTGATACCGACTGCCTCCAGATTCATCGCCATCCTCCCCCCTCCGCTCGAGGACCCGGGGCTGACGTCAAGGGAAGGAGGTAGTGAGGTAATGAAGGAAGGAAAAGCGCCTGCCCTGGGAGATTGGGTGGGGGGAATGGCCGCGCCTGGGGGACGTCTAGTCCCACAGGTGGAGGAGGGGAGGGAATCTTCGCTCCCGAGCCGGCGGCGGCTCGTCCCAAAGTCCGGGTGTGCTTATGAAGCTGAGCCTGGCACTGGACTGATTCTCCTATCCGGGGGAAGTACGGGGTCGAGCCCCTTCTGTTTTGTATGCTTGAGACCCACGGACTTCGGAAACCTTCCGTTTGATGGGAAAATCCGGCATATCTAATCGGATCTTGGATTCGAGATCACTCTTTTTTCCTTTCCTTTTCCTTTCCTTACCCCTCCCCTCGCCTCCTTTCGTCTTCCTTTCTTTCTTTGAGTGAGAGGGAGCTTCTAAAGAAATGCACAAAGGTTGCACAGATAGAGGTGGAATGACCATACCATCATCTCTTTCTTTTCATTCTCACTAGCTGGAATCTAGTTCGGTTCTCTGGCACGGTAGGCCCAGTGTCCTGCCCCAAGCTCTTTGTTTCCGTGCTTCCCTTTGGTGGGTCACCTCACTGGAATGGGTGCAGAGCCTACAACCACTCTCTGTTGTGAGCACCCCTACTCCCACCCCGGCAAAACTGTGGTGGCAAGGTCACTGTCATCCTTGAGGAGCTGGTCTTGCTCATTGCCAGAGTGGCATTGCTGTTATTCTAGTAGCCATTGGGGTGCAGTTGGAATGGTTCCCCATGGAATGACTTTAACCCACGCCTCCCTCCTTGGTTCCTGGTTGGTACCTTACCCCAGGCAGAGACAAAGACCTTGATGCTAGAGTGGGTGCCATTTAGATGCACTGGGATACCTCCTTGGGGGTTGGGGACTGGGAGGTGTTGGAAAGGTACCATCAGAGGGGCTGAGCAGCTTAGAAAGAGAAGGAGGTGGGGATAAAGTCCTCATAGCCACTGGTTTCCTAGTTCTCTGCTCCTTTGGTGGATTCTGACTTAGTGCTGAATTTGTGGTTGTCATGGACATAGGAAAAGTCACTTGGGTTGCATTTTATAGGTAAAACTCTTTATAGGAAAACATTTTCTAATCCAGCTCATGATTGGCAATTGTATAAAGCAATTTTGTCAGGTTCATCTCTTGGAAAGATTTGCTTATCTCTTTCTTCTTTCTATGTAATTGGATTTTTTTTGATGTTTATTCATTTTTGAGAGACAGTGCATGAGCAGGGGAGGGGCAGAGAGAGAGAGGGAGACACAGAATCCGAAGCAGGCCCCAGGCTCCTAACTGTCAGCACAGAGCCTGACGTGGGGCTGGAATTCATGAACCATGAGATCATGACCTGAGCCAAAGTCCAACACTCAACCAACTGAGCCACCCAGCTGCCCTGGATCTTTTTTGCTTTCATTTTTATATTTATGTCACAAATATACCATCTTCTTCTGTTAGAGAAAAAAAATTTTAATGTTTATTTTTGAGAGAGAGAGAGTGTGAGCAAGGGAGGGGCAGAGAGAGAGGGAGACACAGAATCCGAAGCAGGCTCCAGGCTCTGAAGTGTCAGCACAGAGCCAGACGCAAGGCTTGAACTCACGAACCCTGAGATCATGACCTGAGCCGAAGTCAAAGGCTTTACTGACTGACCCACCCAGCCACCCCAATGTAGAGAAAACTTCTAAGCAGTAAATCTCCTAAAAAAAAGGATTTGTAGCAAAAGAGTCTGCTCTCTTGAATTGTGTACTGTCTTTGAAATTCCATTCACCCTAAATTCATAACATTTTTTTTATCACTTTTCAGAGATTAGGTACAGTAATAATGATGGAACAGACAGGTGTGAGGATGTTTTAAAATCGGTCATATGCATCAACGCTATTGCAGTTATGTCACTTCCTTCTTTCTTACTCCTAAAAAAAGGTTTGGAAGGGTATTTAAATGCTTATGTGAATGCAGTGTTTGAAAAAGCATAGGAAACTAGACTAAATTTTAACCACTTAATGGCTTAATTTTTGGGTTTTAGGTATTTAGTGGTGCCTCTATTGGTCCCTGGCTCCATTCCCTTCCGTCTAAAATTGGGACCTCCTGGGAAAGGCTTGCTTGTATTTTGTTTGCCTCCTTCCACTTGACCCCTGCGGCAGCCTGCCCAGCCTTTTCCCCACTGCCTTCCCAAAGCTTCTGTCTCTCTAATCTTTAATCTCCCTTCCCAGCATGAAATAAAGGTAATGGTACATATACTGATATAAAACAAGTGGTGCACAATATGTATTTGCTTTGAGGAAATTCTTAAAATTCTTGTTATACAGTGACTCTCTTTCCTTGCTCAGGGAACAGATCTGGGGAGTTATGGCTGTGCACATTTGTGTGTAGATGTGAACAGTAGTGAATAGAAAATGCTCACAATTGACTTATGGGAAATGATAGGAGATGGTTTTCTCCATCCTTTCTGTGCCTTGCCTCCCCACTCCCCATATGAAGGTGGGTAGAGTTCTGTCTAAAGGTCACAGATTTTGGCTCCTCCATAGGGGCTGTGATCATAGCTGGGTGAACTATGAATCCTTTTAATATAATGATGAGGATTTTTTGCATGCTGACTGTGTGTTGCTGGGCACTATGCTAAGTGTGTCACTCAGTTTACTCATTTAATTTCTTCCAAGGACTCTGTGAGATAGATACTCTAATCTCTACCCTCCTGAAGAGGAAATAGATTCAGAGACGCAAAGTAACTTGCTTTGGTCACACAGCAAGTCAGAATCAAGACCAGGACTTGATCCTCAGTCTCTCTGACTTCAAAACTCATCTGTGCTCTGAATCACTGAGGGATTCCAGACCATCAGCATTCTCCATCTGGAATATTCCCCCTATACAATCTGTGCCAACACTGTTGCTGCTAAGTGTGTAAAGCAAATGCTTGTATATGCTTACTTCATCCAGGTGCCATTCTAAGCATTGTACCAGTATTGACTTCTTAATCCAGATGATGACTTTTTGAGGCAGGCAATAGGTTATCATCCCCATTTTATAGGGGAGGCCCTGGGAGTTGAATTTGCCCAGATGACACAGTAAAGTCCCTGATTTCAGGTAGTGAGGCTTCAGAATCCATTCACCCTGCTACCTCTCCTGATGAATAAGTAAGTGCCATTTTCTTTCCAAAGGGGGCATCTGTCCTGAGCCTCAGTAGAGAAAGGTCTTTATTTCCCAGTAATGAAAGAAATACTATTATCTGTTAGTTTTGCCCATGACTTTAAATAGAAAGCCCTTAATGGATTTGGGGCAGTTTTCTCCCTGCTGACTATTGTCAGAAGCAGATTTTCTCCTGAAGCCCTCACTCACAAAGCAGCTGTCTGCCTGTCAGACTTCAGACACCTCTAGCTTTGCCTTTACTGCTGGGATGAACTACTGGGGGTGAAGTTGAGTCCAGGCACCTAAAGGCCTCTCTTCCCATCCCTCCAGATAGAGGAGGAATTATGGCTTGTAATGCCACTGTGATTGTGCTTGCTCACAGGTAAGGTTCCAGGTGAGGTCGGACCCCATGCTCTACTGAGGGGAGACGGTAGTGAAATCCACTCTCACTAAGCATGAAAGTTTCCCCTGATTTCTGCCTAAAACAGGCAGCTAGCTGGGCCTTCCCTGCTCACTTCCTTTGAATCTTCTTCCACAAGCCCTTCTGCCTCCCCTGCTGGCTGACCTCAGTGGAGCCCCTGATCCCTGACTGTGCCCAGTTCCTGGGTGGATTTTCATGGCTACTTTTGAAAAGGAGTTCTGTGCCCTATGTTTGAAAAATCCTCTTCTCCACAATATTTTTTAAAGATATTCTAATCCTTTCCCTTTCTTCTTGCTCTTTTATTAGGTTTGCATATCCTTCTTTGTAACTTTTAAAATTTATTTTGAGAGAGACAAAGAGAGTGAGTGGGGGAGGGGCAGAGAGAAAGGGGGACAGAAGATTTTAAGGGAGCTCCTCACTGACAGCAGAGAGCCCCATGGGGGCTCGAACACTGGAACTTCAAGATGGTGACCTGAGCCAACTGAAGTCAGAAGC